ACGGAAGAATCTTTTAAAACCCAGCTCATACAAGACCACCTCTAGAAACATTCCCTAGCACAAAGTAGGCGCCATGAAAACGCTCACTGAACTGAACTGAAGCATCCACATGCAGGGATGGGACCTCTGCATCCTTGATACTCCTCCTGTACCCAAATGTTCTTCTCTGATCACCTGGCGACACTGCTCTGACCCTGTTCCCACAGCCGGCTCAGTGTACTCGACCGTGAGCTTCCCGCGTCAGGAGGGACCTGCTTCTTCCTCATCTGCGTGCCATGCCCCCACCCCATGTTTACCACAGTGCCCTGCAGGCAACCAACTGCCTCCCTAATGACACTTGCCAGCCCTTCTTCTCTCCTGAGAGCCACCAACCCTCACCGGTTCTTCCTCAGCAACACCTCCGGCATTTACCTGTCCTCCTGTCCATTCCTACTCCTCTTCCACGTCAGGTCCTCACGGCTCCAGGTCACGCAATGACCCCTGCCCCTGTCTACCGAGAAGCCCCAAAGAGCTTCTGGAACACAGCAAGCACTCAGGGACCCTGAGCTACACTCCTCAGCGACGCCTCGGCTTCTGTCTTCTGCTGAGCCTGAACCTCGGAACATAGATCCAAGTGGCCAGCCTGGAAGGCACCCCTTTTCTGTCTCATCCAGTTTAACCTGGAAGCTTCTACCACATGCAGCCCCTGCTCACAGACTGGTGGACTGGCCGTGATGGCCTCTTGTGCTTAGCTCTGGCCAGTCTCTAGACCAGGTGGCTCTTCTGGGATCCTGGTCCTACTTGGCCTACCCCGTGTGGAAGCATAATCAGAACCAAAGCTGACAAAAGACAAATCAGTACTGAGGGAGACCCACGTTTTAAAAAATCATTTGGGAAGTCATCATAACAAATATATAATGGTCTTGTAGAAAATATCTTTCTTATATTCTCACTTACAATTTGGTAAAGATTAAAATATACGCACATGACTACTTTTTTTTTCTTACCAAAGATGCAGGGAAACAGGCACTGCTAGTGTAAATGAAAAATGGGAAGATCTTTCTGGAAGGCAATTCGACAATGTATACTAAAAGCTTTAAAAACAAGTGTGTCCTTGAGCTAGCAATTCTACGTGTATGAATACATCACATGTAGACAGATGGACGAGAATACACACTGATTCAGTTGCAAATAATTCTGAGCAATACAAATGTTCAAAACAGGACTGACTGAATGAACGCACTTCCTCTGCAGACAGAAAGGCCACAGACCAAAAAGGACACCTCCTGCTGTTAGAATAAGCATTCTATCTTCCAAATTCACAGAGACAATATATTCAATGTTTGGTAAATGGAGGGCATTTTTTTTAATGTTGTAGGAAAGAAGAAATACCCTATGAACGAGTCATCTGAGTTCATGAAAAACTGCTACACTCTGGACATCACTCCTTGATCCCTATCGGCTGTACGGGGCAGCTACAATGTGCATTTTTACATGTTTTCAATCAGGGCAGCTGGCCCAAGGCTCTTCCCTGGCACCCCTGGCCCGGCACTCCACGTCCCACTACAGAGGTGGGGCTTGTTCCCATGGCATCCAGCTTGTTCCCATGGCATCTGGCCTCCTACTCTCAAAGAAGATACTTCAAATCAATGGACAAATCAACCAGAAGGTTAGCAGGATGTGTTTTACAAACCATAGAAGCAAATATACATAGCCTTTTCTGCTAAAGAAATGTCACAATCAGAAATGCAGGAAGGGCTGTAATACTTAGGCTTTGGGCTTAAAAGGATTAACAAAAGAAGCTGAGCCCTACAAGAACTACACCCGGGCCCAGCCTGCAAGCTGGCTGAGCCCGTGGCCTCTCCGTGCACACAGCGTTGCCCCCAGCCCAGGACCGCACCATGTTGAGCCCCCTCGGGCCCATGTCAGAAGCCACAGCTCCACACTGGCCTCCGGCCACCGATACAAAGGTGAAAAACACCCCACCAAAAAGCTAGCCCCGACACCAGGAAATGAGTCTATTTTTTAGAGTAAAATTAAATGTATAGAAAATGTAAATAATTTGGGGTCTTTTGAATTTTGAATATTTCCACAAAAATTTAAAAGAAACTCTAAGAATAATACTTTTCCAGGTAACTGCCAACTGAAAAATGTACTCAAGATAAAACAACGCTCCCCCCGGAAACCAACCTCCAGAAAGAACCTGAGATGAGAAAGCTGAGAGAATAATTCTGTGCCTGAAGTACCATGGGGCCTCCACAGTCTTACAACAGTGCTGACACGCACGTTCACACGGACTCTCTGTCCTTGGAAAGAAATATTCGAGAAGATGCTACCAAGGAAGGTCACGCTCAGACCTGACTGGCACAAGGGGCTGACGCACGGCAGGCAGCGTGAAAAGCTCAGCTCCCTGGACACGCTCAGCACCCACACGGCAGCTTCTGTTTGCCTCCATGGATGGAAAAGGGGGGCTTAAAAGGGCAAGTAAATGAGTCACGGTCCCTGGCGGGGAGGCATGGGGTGGGGTGGGGTCTGAGCGCAGACCTTCTGGCTCCAGAGCCCACCCTCCATGCTGGACTGTCTTCCTAAAACCTGACCCTCACAAAGTACACCTGACAACCAGATTAGAGTCAAACTGCTGGACAGCAGAGGGGACGGGAAGAAGCTCCCAGCAGAGGACCACAGTGGCCGGCATTCACGTTGGTGCCGACCACACGTGAGCGCAAGTGTTCCACGAGGACTGTGCAGGCTCACCCGTGGGATGAGCAGAGTTGTGTCGACAAAAGAGGTTGGTAGCTCGTGCCCCGGGCAGTTCAACAGGCACAGCACGCTGCTGGGGCCCAGCTACTGTCCACGGCACTCATGTGGCAGGGATGCCGAGGGATGGCAAGGCAACAGAGCGGCCCCACCCCCATCATGTGCAGCACGAGGGGACCAGGGAACAAGAAGTTGGGTCGTTAGGACAGAGAGAGAGAGAGAAAGCAAACAGTGGGCAGCGTGTCCTCACCCTGAATTCAGCTCTGGTCAACTCATCTCAGGCAGGACACAGCAGAACCAGAAAGGTGCAAAGTACAATCAACATGATTCATAGTGGGGGACAGCCCCCTCTCGAGGAACGGTCGAGAGGACGATGACCATTCCACTCAGAAAAGAACAGAACCAGGGGAAAGAATACTACAACGTATGTGAAGTGCATCCCACAACACAAAGCCCGGGAAAAGCCCTCAGTGAACATCCGCACCAGAGGCCAAGAGCCTAGAGGATGGACTTACATCATGCCGCCGTTCACACGGACTCTCTGGAGCCAGGAGCGTTTCTGAGTACGAGCCCCACCACCTGCTCCTTGCATGCTTCTCTTTCCAGCCGAGAGGACAGTTTCCATGCACTCCTACGATGGCTAGAGGTAGCAAGGAGCTCAGCAGACAAGGCAAGGTGGGCAGGAGGACCCGCTATGCGTGCTGCTGTGCCGCGAATGAGTGGGACACCACGCATGTCCCCACGCAGCCTGCCTGCACCGTCTGGGCATGCCGGAGTGACCAGGGATCCATGCTAGGACGAGGATGCCTGTGAGCAGCAGGAAAAGGCTTCCCTACTCCTCCCCTAGGCTCCACTGTGCCCCCAGCAGGCCCTGCAGATCCGGGGAGCTGTATGTAACGCATCCCCAGGCTCCCTCACCCTCCAGCTTCCAGAACGCTTGGTGGAGCTGGCAGGAGGTGGTAGCAGGTGCCCAGCTGGGTCCCTGCACGGTCAGCGGCCCCTCACCAGGAGGGCCCAGCCCCTCAGCGCGGCGGCAGCCACTCTGGCAATGTTTCCTCGCCTCTCTGCCAGTTGGCTGCCGTGCTGTGACAAGGCAACCTCCTGGGGCAAGAGCAAGAACTTCCGACAGATTCTAATCCTTCAGGTTGTGACGGGCGGGGCCCAGCACCAAGGGGCTGGCTCTGCACCACCCTCCAGGGTTTCCCACCCGCGCCCTGGGCTGCATGACAGTGCCTCCTGATGGACCCGCCCGGGGTTACCCCAGTCTGACGGTGCTGAGTGTGAACCACGTGGACTCTAGCACAGAGCCTATTTCTCCCCCATCCGCTAAGATGACGAAATCTCTAAATCAGGTAAAATATCTAGGCACACATGAGCACAGACAGCCCTGTGCCCCCCTGCTCCGTACGGCCAGATTGGAGCAGCCAAAGCAGGTCACCCAAGTCCACGCGGTTCGACGGAGCCACAGGAGTGCCCTCCCATGGCGGAAGATGGTGTTTCCCTCATTTGCTTGATGAAGTATCTAGGCAAGAAAAATAATCTGATACAAATTCTTACATTCACGAGTGTGTGGCTCAGCTAGGCTAGGCGTTTCTCCTTTAGAAATTAACTAACAGGGGCGCCTGGGTGGCTCAGTCGTTGAG